TATTTCTTTATACTTAAGCTGATGAAAAGAATCTCCAACTGATAAATCATTATGACATTATAAATAATCTTTCATCTTCTTTGGTGGTCTGTGAGGTTCACATAATTAGAGGGTTAAAAACCTTTTTTTGTTTCTTCTTTCTTCCCGTGTCATTAATATAGTAGGAGACCATAAAGAAGTGCAGCCAGAAGGGGTTTAACTGTTACTGAGTCAACATTTGACAGTCACACTCTATTCTGTCATTTCATGCATGTGCTTTTTATGAGTTTTATAGCTTTGTGAGCTTTATTTCAGGGATGTGCATTATGATAGCTGATCCACAGCCCATCTCTTTGTGTATGTTTGTCTGGTAGAGACCAAAGCTCATCACTTAGCTGAATCCCAGTTTCAGGGAGTAATAGAAGACTTATCTACTCATGCACTGTTTAATTTAGGATTAGGTAACTAAGGAAATATCTACCTCTAAAGTACAGTTTGTGTGTTCCTTTGTTTTGACTGCTCCATGAAATATCAACATAGGATGCCTATTAGAAACTTTGCAAAAATAGTGAATTCTCAGTTGTTTTTGATGTTTTTTAAGTTGAAATAATGGAGTAGGGAAATTTTTTCAGTTAAAATATGTACTAGACTTACAGTCTGGAACTGTAACTCATCATGCCTGAGTATGAAATTGAAATAATAAACAATGATCAAATACATTGTGGTAAATGGTAGGAAAAAGAGGGAGAACTTTTGACAATATTTAGAGTTGTTACTAAAATTCCCTTTTTTAATGCATATTTGGTCATACAGAATAGAGTTTATCATCATAACAGACTACTTAATACTCAAGTTTAACTATTTCTATAATTATTACATGTTAGATTCCCTGTCTTTTCAATTTTCCCCATTGACATTTTAAAAATAATATTAAAAATATATCTATCTTAAACTTTTCAAAGTAATGAGAATCTAGCATGTTTAACTATCATTTTACAAACTAGGATTCTGGAACTCAAGGAGGATAATTAATTTGTCTAAAGCAATATGGCTAATATATATGGCAGAGAGTTTGGTTAAAATGTGATATTCCTGATGCCAAAACTCATTATTTTCTAACCTCAAAAACGTCCTCTTCCCATGAATCCCTGTGGCCTTTCGTCATTTAGAATGGTTTTTGGCTTAGAAGTATGAATTGATACTGACCACTTCCAATCAACAAAGTGTCCATATCTCTTTAGCTGTTTCTTGGCTGTCCTTTTTGATTCCCACCATAGCCTGGGATTATGTGCAAAGAGTACACATGCTGTTTTCCATTATGCAAGTCTGTGGATAAGTCACAGATCACAAGACCAGCTACCAAGTCCCCCAAGTGAATATTAATACATTAATAATAGTCTTCTGTATGTCAGATTTTGGAGTTATTCATTTGCACCCAGGAAACCATGTGGTCTACAACTTTCTTCTGTTGATGAGATACAATTCACTTGGATCTTTTTTCAAGTCAATATAAAATCAGAAGATTTTTTCAAGTCTGTTTTTAAACAGACTTAACCTAATGTTTCTCCTTGATCTCAGCAAACCTGCAGAGTTGTAAAGACGTGATTAGGTAGATAAGACTCATCTTTCCAAAGGAATCTAGTTGTTATCCCATTGCTAGTTTTTATTCAAGAGAGAAAGCATGCAGGTCATCTTATTTGGCCCATACCCCGGGACTTTAACATGTTGACTACTTTGTTGTAATTAATCTACTTTTGCCCTCTATTCTGACATCATTCAGGGCATTTAGAATTTTGGAGAGTATTCCTTTAAATGTATTTACTTTTCTTCTTTTTTTTTGCTTTCTCTCTAATAAAAAGAAGGTAAAGGAGAAAAGACCAATGACTCTTGTCATTTTCATATCAGCATTTCTAAGTGCTGGGCTGGATTTGTGTTCCAGAATACTGATCTTTAAATCGGGGAAGGGGATGCTATTTTTCTGCACAAACTCTTGACTAACATGATTTTTATCAGAGTCATGATTTTTATCAGATTATAAGATTGATATCACTAACATGATTTTTATCAGATTATAAGATTGGTAAGAAATGGTCACTTGTGCCCATCAACATATATTTGTTTTCCCAAAATCAGTTTCTTGGGTGTTTCCCATTTTCAACATCTTCCCTCTTAACCCTCTGCTTACCTGAAATCTACTGTCCTTGTTTTGTTCCAGTTGCCTCTATTTAGAAAAGATTATTTTATTTATAAGAACTTTGAGAATCAAAATATTACCTTTTCCAGTAGTATTTGCTCTTATGAACAGACACTTTTAGAAAAGGAAATATTTAACCCACAGAACAGAATCGCAAATGGTTGAGCTTTATACATGATAGTGCATAGGTGAACGCTTCAGAGAGGGGATGGCCAGAGACAGGTGGGATTAAAAGGATAAAGTAGGAGAGATTTTTCTAGTGTATCCGTACTTCTGCTTTATAGCATTTAGCTGATTCTTTCCCCTCCTATATGCCATTCAGTTGAATTTAAACTTTTGGGAACTATTCTTAAATCCAATTCATTCTTTTGGTGGTTCAATATATTACCTAGACACTTAACCACATATGAATTTATATCTACTTTTATACGTAAGTACTATGTATCAACTTTATAGGATCAGTTTTCATATGGAATTATAGGATAATTATTTTTTACTTAAGTTGTTATTATCTCCTCCTCACATCAGTTTCTTTTTCTTCTGAATGTATTGTCCACACTTTTTTTAAAAATGTGGCAACGTTATCATTTTGATTTACATGCCGTTGTAATCTGCTTTAATTAAAGGCATACCTCATGTTCTCCAATTCCTGCAGTCACCTTTCCTTTTGCCTGTTCACATGTCTGTTAGCTTAAATTACTATACAAAAAAACTTAAATTTATATAAGTAGTATAAATTACTACACTATTACGAGAAAGTATAGCTTACTGTGTTGACTCCCACTATGTGCCACTGACATCCTCTTGAGAAGCATAGTAAGTTTTACTTTTGAGTAGCTAATCATTTTATTAATATTAGGCGCATTAGTGGTGGCTAATTATAGGTTACTTATTGTAAAAACTGAGTGTGACTTTCCTGCTCATATTTGTTAATTTTAGTCTCTTGGTAAGACAGCATGGCATCTGTAGAGCTGAACTCAGAACCTTGGAAGTCGCTTAACGTGTCATACTTTTTCTACTTTGATTGAGTTCATTTTGCTTTTTCGTCTTGAAAGACTTTTCTTCAGAATGGAAAACGCTCTAGAAAATGTGTAGTATTATTGCCCTATACTGTTAAATCAAAAGCTAAGAGGTGATCCAAGCCCAGTACATTCCTCAAAGAGAGTACAGTAAAGTCTTCATTGACCCGAGGACTATCAGACCATGTTGATGGAATGTGTGTGTGTGTGTGTGTGTGTGTTTTTTCAAATGTAACTGTCTTTTGTTTTAACAGCTACATTTACTGTAAAGAAAGTCTGTTAAGCTGGTGTCCTTGATGCTCCTGAGCTCAGCTGAATATATGCAGCCGACTCTCTCAGCAAAAGACATCCAAAACATATAAAGCAGCTGAAAACAACAACTTCACACACAAAACAAATCGAGTCAGATTCTACAGTGTTAAATGCGTAACTTATTTCAACTTTAATACTATTTAATTCTATAGAACTAAAGTTAATACGAACTATTTTGTCCCAGTTTCTCTACTGTATTTTATACTGATTGACAATTTTAAAATAGTTTTCTATTAAATAATGTACATACTTTGATGAATAGAGTACAGGAGTTCCAAGGCCACTGGCTTAAGAGACTTTTTAATCTAGTATGCACAATTGTCACATTGTCAGAGACTTCATTGAGATAAAGTGTGTACTGTGTGAAGAGTTTCCATATCTTATTAGTTCTTGGTGGGAACATTAGTTGGGCCCTTTACCTGTAATACAATTATCTTAAATCATTGATTACTTTCTGTGAACATTTTATTGTGTCAATAGCAGTTCTGCAGTGTATGTTGTTCACTAGTATGATTCATGACTATGTTCCTCAGAAAATGAGGTGAATAATTATAAAGAAACTTGAGACAATGTGATGAGATCCAATGGATGCTTTTCTTAAAACTGTTTTGCTACTACATCATCCTGAGAGCAATGCTGGAGAGTTCAAGAGAAAGTTGTCAGCCGTTCATTATATGCTTTTTCTGTTCCTAAAGTCACCCAGTTTCTTAATTTGACAGTAGTTTAATGTCTCATATGGTTTAGATTAAGCATTATATTTTTCTTGAAAATAATTTATATTGTAATGCCATGTTCTCCATGAATGTGAATCGTGCACTGCATGCTTAAACAACTTGATGTCTCTGTAGATCTAATTTTGGTATATTTGTATCTCAAATAATTCGCCAACTCAATATTTTGGCTTAGCAATCCAAATCAAATTGTGGTCCAAGTAGCAGGCACTCACATTGGATGTACAGAGACTTGACAAGCAATTAGCAATGAATATTTAAACGTCTTCATTACCCTTGCATGAGGAATACAGATGGCATTTGGGAAGATGGCAACCAGAGGGCACTACTGTGAATTATGTTTCTATTATTTGGTCACCTGACTATTGGAAGACTTTCTCTGGGCTTCACGCCACTCCTATACTTCTACTGTCTGGCCAAAAATAAAGCAGACATTCCAAATGTAAAACAGGTTGCTTCCATGGAATTTCTATGCACATTTTGTAATTTGGGACGGTTGTCTCCAAGGATCCCGGCATATATCCTTTAGGCATACCAAACCCAAATGCCAAGACTTTATAGGGGTCTATGAGAATCAGAGCTCCTTCAAAAATCCTGCTGATCATTCTCTTAATGACTTCAGGTTAATATGCTGAACGTAAAAAGGTGAAGAAGTCAACACTGCATCCTTTCCAGGAGCTAATGTATTATATATGGCCCAAGAAAAAGAAAGTCTTCAAATAATTATAATTCCTAGACTGATCTCTCATTATAATTTTTTTAAAGGAAAAAACAACACTGGAGAGTCTGACTCAGCAACTGGCAGTTAAACAGAATGAAGAAGGAAAATTTAGCCATGCAATGATGGATTTCAATCTGAGTGGAGATTCTGATGGTTTGTGAAAATTGTTCATATATATTCTAATAATGTGAGAAAGTGTCTATTTAGTGCCAATTAAAACTGCTAATAAATAGACTAGACAGCCACCTCATACCTGATCATTACCTTAAGAGGTCACATATACTGAGCAGTTCCCATGTGCCAAGCACTCTGCTGAGTGCTTTGCATAAATCATCTCATTTAATTCCTAGTCAGGCCCATTGCAGAGAAAGAGTCTGAGCCTCAGGAGTTTTGAAGCATTTTCCCCACGTCACAGGACTCTAAGTGCCAGAGGCAGGAATTTAAATCAAGATGACAGGATTCTAAAGCAAATGCTCTTGATCATCATCTTCCCCATTCCTCTTCTCGCTTCCCTATTTCTTTCCTTTTTTTTTTTTTTTTGACAGAGTCCTGCTTTGTAGCCCATGCTGGAGTGTAGTGGTGCAGTCCCAGCTCACTGCAGCCTTAGCTTCCCAGGCTCAAGTGATCCTCCCACCTCAGCCTCCCAAGTAGCTGGGACTATAGGAGCATGCCAACATGCCCAGCAATTTTTTTTTTTAAGAGACAAGGACTCACTATGTTGTCCAGGCTCATCTAAAAGTCCTGGGCTTGAGTGATCCTCCCACCTCAGCCTCCAAAAGTGCTAGTATTATAGGCGTGAGCTACTGCACGTGGCCTCGCTTCCCTATTTCTTGTACCCAAAATGAACTTTTTCAGAAATTTGTTTCTATTGGCTCATTTTTAAGTTTCCATTTGTCAAGCCCTGACCAGAATACATGGCTCAGAGGACATTTCCAGGATAGTTTCTTCCATTTTGGAACCCTTCTCCCCAGTGCTATATACTGCATAGTGTCCTGCCCACTCTCTCTAACCTAGCTAGAATTCAGCTGCACAACCTTATGCTCCCCTCTCCTAAGCCTCCAGACTTCTGTTTCCTGTATCATCTCTGAATATTCTAAACATCCACAGTGACAACAAATTAAATCGATACTCTGATTTTTAAGAGCATAGCAAAGAGGGAAAAAGAAGAAGTGCTGTTCTTCTTATACAATATCCTGGCTGGGAGCCTGTCTCTACTGTCAGGTGGCATCCATGCATGTTAAGCATTCCTTTGGTGGTACCGACCTCAACTTTGGTACTACTGCAGGGAATTTCCCTGCATAGAGAGAAGAGTGCACAAGGGCAAACCAGTGAGATGCATATTTTGAGAGGGGGCCCCCTTGAATCCTCCAATATACACAGCTCTCTACTCTGTGCCTTGAGTCAATTCTACTTTTAAAACCAGGTCTATACTAGTCCAGGGACTAAACAACCCTGAACGTTGAAACACATAATTCTATCAAAGCTGATTTTTATTCAATTGGATTCAATTTGCATTTTCCTGGGTCTAATGTTGCAAATATTTTCTTCTATTTTCTGCTTCACTTAGCTGAGATAAACCGAGTCTATGTACATTTAAAGAGCTTGTTTAGATTTGATGAAGACACATAATGTTCATTTTATTGCTTATGTTGCTGTAAGGTGTAAGAACAAGAAAAGGCAGATGTGCAAATGATCATTTGCTAGTTACAAACCCATTTTAGGAAGATGTTGCCATATATTTGCACTTATTTTGTCGATAAAAGACAATTACTGGTAATAACACATTTCATAAATTTTAAGTTGTACTAGCATGATAAAATATACCCACAGTAATCAGCATTAAAACATCAAAGTTTTTGTTGCTGTCACTGGCTAAATTCAATCATGCTTGTTTGTGAAATATTTTCCACTTTTCATTAAACCAAAGAGCATGTTATTAATGAGAAATATTGAGAAACTTCACCAACAGGTATGCTATGCTTTGAATGTGCTGCTATAGAGGTCCTTAAGTTTGGGCAATTTTGTTTGATTCTTGTGTCTTCAGATTTAAAAAAAAGAAAAGATGAGGAATGACTACAAAGCAAGAAAAGAAAAGCAGTGCTTTTGTTGAGAATAGTCTCTACAAATCCCCAAAGTATTTTTAAATTTTTAGATACTATCAAAATACATCTACTTATCTTGTGATAATAACCAGTGAAAACCTACTGTCAGAGTTCTACTGGTTCTCCTTATTTTCTCTTTGCCTGAACTCAAGTATCTTAGAAGCTATTTAATCTGCTGAAGCCATTCTAAGGAGCCACATAGGTTAGAGGAGTGAATACAGCTTCCAAAGATATTGTTGTTAACTCTTGAATTGTGTTTTATCATCTGTGAATCTTACTGATTGAAATGTAACTGTCCATGGGACTCTTTGGATAACTTTAAATATTAGGGGGAAGATTCAAAGGAAATTTTTATTTTTCTCATCTTAAACATGTGACTGTAGACTCCTTAAGAAACTAGAGTAATGTTAATTGTTCATTTGTTCTTTTCCATACCATTTTTACATATATTTTTGGGAGCAGACCTGTCATTGCTATATCAGCATATGTCATGCATTTGTCAGCATAGAATTTCAAAGAAAAGCCAATTATATTACAGGGAAATATATATATTGTTTTTAATCTCAAAAATTGGTCAGTGTTTTTATTTTTGTAACCTTGGAGAGAGAAAGAGAACATAAGGTATTATATGTTCAGACAGTCTTTAAGTAGCAAAGGTATATCCTCCCCTATAATCATCCATTCTGCCAAATTGATTGGTGCTTCTTTACCTATTTAATATTTCCACACTACTGGTATGCCTATTGATTTAATCTATCCTCTTTCTGAATGGCATCAAAAATTACATATCAGAGTTTATTTTGAACTGTTGAAAGTAAATGGTGAAACAGTCCATTGAAAGAAAGAGAAAACAGATTAGAAACGGGTTAAAAATACAAATACGACATTTGCCACCACAAGGCTTATCACAAAAACTTCATAAACAAGCATCTGTCTTAAGATCTGGAAGTACCATTATCAGAAGTACTTTTTGTTTCAGATATCTTAATAGACTTAAAAATAGGAGTGCGAGGAAAAGAGTTGCCAGAAGTTCTAACACTAACCCTAAGTGATATTTCCTGTTTTCAGGAAGTGCTGGAGTTTCAGAGTCAAGAATTTATAGGGAATCCAGAGGGCGTGGCAGCAATGAACCGCACATAAAGCGTCCAATGAACGCCTTCATGGTGTGGGCTAAAGATGAACGGAGAAAGATCCTTCAAGCCTTTCCTGACATGCACAACTCCAACATCAGCAAGATATTGGGTAAGAAAAACATTAAGAACTCAGTGACATATGGAATAAAGGTACTGTTGTGTGTTCTGGAGCTGTGGAAGGATCCTGGATTTGGAGGCCATGCAGGTCATGTTATCTGCTTATCCAGAAAATAAACATCATCATTGAGGCTTCTTCTGGTGATGAAGCATTCTATGTCCATTGAGAAACATACCATATTTCTATACCTCATTTAGCAGTTTGTCTTCATACTAATTATTTTAATGCTTTATCTTCTTCAGAAATCTAGAAATATTTTTACTAAGGCTGAGAAAAAAGTTGCTTTCACGTGAGCCACTAGATATTGCTACTGATCATTTGTACTCATTTCCTTGCATACTAGAGACAAGTTATTGTTAATCTTAAGGCCTCCTTCCTCTCTCATCATCCTCTGTAACAGAAGGAAAAGGAGTTTTGTTTGCAGAATTCATCATGTTGTGGGGGTGAGGGTGGAGGTGGGGAAGATGTTTGTTCCAGTGCTATAATTGAAAATCAGTTTTAGATTCTTAGAACACAAGAAGATGTAGAGTGTACATTTTTACATTTATACTTTTAGTAACCTTAAGTACTAAAGGTACTTTTAGTAATACTAAATACTTTTCTGCCATCGCAACATTCAATTTAACAGAAAACAAAGTACACATTTACTCTACCCACATAGACACTGAAGCACACAGAAAAAATGGTTGGGGAGAAAGGGTGCTGATTATAAAGATACCTATTATAGACCAATTCAGGTCCCGGAGGGACGGCGGGGGAAAGAGAAGATTCCATTGCTTTCGTGCCTTATCTGACATCATTATCATTGTCATTGTCCCTAACTTCATCACTGCCTTTGTCTTCATCATCTTCATCTTCAAGTAGCCTGATGGCCAGATACGGGACAACATAAGAAAATTTTGATTACTCACTGTGTGACTTCTAAGAGTTAAGTGACAAAAATAGAATAGAACCATTTTATCAGAAAACGTTGGCTTTAACAAATAAGTAACAAAATTTGTCAAAATTATTAAAGTTTTATTAAAATTCATAAGGCACTTGGAATTGCACGGAGTTTATAAAGATAATATCACTTTTGGTTCATTACTGATCATCTATAAATGGCTAACATATGCATGAGGTTTTTTGTTTTGTTTTGTTTTGGAGATGGGAATCTTGCTCTGTCACCCAGGCTGGAGTGCAGTGGTGTGATCTCAGCTCACTGCAACCCCTGCCTCCTGGGTTCAAGCAATTCTTCTGCCTCAGCCTCCTGAGTAGCTGGGATGACAGGCATGGGCCAACCATACCTGACTAACTTATATTTTAGCAGAGAAAGGGTTTCACCATTTTGGCCAGGCTGGTCTGAAACTTCTGACCTCAGGTGATCCGCCCTCCTCGGCCTCCCAAAGTGCCGGGATTACAGGCGTAATGCGCCTGGCTGCATGTTTTTATGATCCCATATTCTCAACAAAAGTAATAGATGCCACCTAGTCCACAAGGTCCATTTGTAATGGGATCGAAATAGAAACCATTAGCCACTTAAAATTGTGTCTCATTTTTCACCTAAATGTTATCTAAAAAGACATGAACATGCAAAGCTTTCAGTAGTATACGTAGAAAATATGAAAATCTGTGTGTAAAAATATATAGCATGCATGATCAAAAACTTGAACTGATCAAGAGGAAATACACATTTTTTACATCTCTACCAGCTCTGATCTATTTTTCCCTTTTGTGACTATATTCTACCTTCCATATGAAATTTCCCATCTTTAAAAAACAACATACCAGTTTCATTTGGAAAAACCCTAGAAAAGAATACTTTATGTAAGCATATTTCACGTTTTAATATATCAGTTATTCCCAAATTAGAAATCCAAAATTGTCAGAATAAAAAACTAGTTGAATACTAAGATTTCAAAACTCTCTTTATATTACTCAATTCATGTGTCTGAATACCAAAAACGTGATAATTATTAATTCAAACTATCTTGACTGTAAGAGAAATATCAGTTTTGATGAGAGGAAATGATATTTTAGGAAATGCAGCAAAAGCCTCTATGGAAAAGAAATGACTGGCTAAGAGAATTCCCTTCTGATGTGAGGAAAAGAGTATTAGAATGACCATATGATTATATTAGAATAGAAAACACGAAAGAGAATACTGTCTAATTTCAGTCTTTCTGATGAAAAGGTATTCTTTAAAGATGTAGCATTTATATTTAGGAACAAATAAAACATTGAGGTGTTGTGGGCCTCAATATTTAGTCACAGCTTTAAATAAATAAGTGATCTTCAAATATCCACAAGATCATTCTAAATGACCCATTTCATACAAAATTACAAAGAAAGCTTGATGTTTTCCTCTTTGCTGATTGTTTTGGATAACAGCCTCCGACAGCATGCCGCTAATTCATTCTGCTTAAAACAGGCGCTTGAGCTGGGTTGACATTTTACGTAGTCTCTGGGGATCCTGGTTGACATTTTAAAGGGCTTCTAAGCATTTTATAATACCCTAAAATCTGGTTTTAATAAGCCATTCTGCTGAAATTGTTAACATAAGGAATCACCTTTTACTGCTTGGCGCTAGATCAGGGGATGAGGGACATCTTTTTCTGATTAGATATACAGTAGTTGGAGTAAAATGTGCAAATTCACTACAGACCCCATGGAGATGACAATGTTGCTCAGCCCAAACTCTTCACTTTCAGTGGATTGCCAGATTTAGAAAGGAAAGGAATAATCATAGGACCTTATTTTTTCCCCTGTTTTGAGCATCAAATACTTTTGATTGAAACTTCCTCTCTTGTCATCAGGAGGAAAACCCAATTGTCCTTCCCTGCTTTTTTATTCTAAAAGAACAACCTTTTGAAAGCAGCAGGGTAAACTCCCTGTACAACAGTCCAGAGTAAGCAGCCAGCCGCCCAAATCAAGTAGATTTGTTTTATCTTTTTTTTTTTTTTTTTTTTTTTGGTGATATCCAAAATGCTTTCCTACCATTCTCATCAAGTGTGTTTCAGGGGTTAGTTAACACCTCAGCTGCCTACAATGGTTATTGTACCTGCAAAGCCATTGAAATCAAAGCCAAACTTTTCAGTTGGTTAACCTAATTTGAGGGTAGGGTGTTGAAATGAAACTGGATTTACCACCAAATGGAAATATTGCCCTGTACTGTCTTAAAATGTAGTAGTCAGCCATTTGACCCAGTTAGTGCTTAGGCTATCTTGATTCTTAGTTTTGAAAACACTTGGATTTATATGGCCATATTTTAAAGTGTAATTTAGGAGTCAGTGATACTCTTAAAGAAATTATACTATCAAGAGTTAAACTATTTTATAATTCCCGTTCATGCCAGATTTGGAAGCCAACTTATCTGAGAATTTACACATCTTTTATTATCCCATTTCTTTATATACATGCATCTTTTTTTCCTCTTTTTTTTTTTCTTAAGCCAGACCAGCTTTCTTTAAGTTAGTCTAATTCCTCTTTCCACTGAAAGACCTCAACTATTATATTCGTCCTCAATAGGATGTTCTTCTCTCTGTGAGCCCCATGGGAGTAATTTCTACAGCAAAACCTTCCTGACCTGCAGAGGATTGATCTTGCCTCCGTATCATACCCTCCTGCATTTTCCACAACTATAAGGAAAAGAATAAATTTTGTAATTAGATATTTAATATATATTCCCTGACTGATATAAGCTCCAAAAAGACAGGAACTGTAACTTTCTTATTTACTCACTACTACATATTCAGTAATGAATACAACACTATGCACATAGTAGGAAATACACAAACAGCTCTGGCATTCCAAGGCAGATTACTTCAAAGCATAAATATTTTCTTTCCTTTGAGAGGCCAAAGCCTTTTGGCATTTATATCATTTAAACTTAGGGAAGAATCTTGGTCAATTCCTCTTCTAATTGAAAATACTGGTTTCGTTTTTGAATTTTGAGATAATGATAGCTAACAAATTTTATATTAGATCAACCATCCTTGATCCATTTTTCAGTGTATTCCTATTTGTGAGTTATTTATGGCAAGCTCACTTTCCACTCCCTGATCTGAAGTTCAAAAAACTGGTATAAATGCTTGGAAGAAAATCCACTGAAACGGTTGTTCTAGTTCAATAGGATCATAACCATATCTGTGTTTATATAGGTCCTGAGAATAACATAATGGTATTCGAGAATCTTCAGAGAATAATGCTGGGCCAACAAGGAGTTTGAGATTGTACCTACAAATGATATGGCTTGACCAACCAACTTAAAATGTTGGATGATGCTATTTAAACAGAAGTTTAAGAAAGGAAGAAAATAAATAAATAAATAAATTTTAAAAAACTATTATTTGAACTGTAACCTGAGTTTATATTGTAAATAGAATAAATTCATATTGGCTTTCTAGATTTGGAAAAATCTGTATTTATACCTATGTAATACAATATCTCTTCCAATGGAAACATTTCTAAGGGAAGACGTATTGCCTCTTTCACTGCATGCTTTAATAAATCTAACAGCCCATATTGAGGCACTCTCTACATGTGTAAGAAAGAACTATTCAACAGTGAGCTATTTGCATTTAAGATACGGAGTTATGGGTGAGTAATGAACTCATTTGAAAGCTTCTAAGATCTTACTTAGATGACATTTGAAGGCAGGTATAAGACTATTTGGTAGGGATATCCTAGTTCCAGTTTTTCAGTCTTTATGCACTCGTGTTGATTTGAGATGACTGTTTGCAGATAAACACACTTCATCTGCAAATAGATTCTTAAATCTCTCTTAATAAAAAAAAATTACTACTACTTCTATTACACATAGCCATACTGACAGAATCCAAGTTTTAAACCATATCTAAAATGTGAATTAGCATAAACTATTTTTATTTAAGCTTCAAACTTGTCTCTTTTAATCCCAACTAAATTCACACCAAAATTAATAGTGAAAAGAAAGGGGAAAAACAATTTGGGTTATTATTACTAATGCAGACTGTATCATGGGAAGTGACATCTTTGTATGTTATTGAAATTGATTAAGAGAAAATCATAATACACATTTACTGTAATTGTGACCTCTGCTATATTTTATATAGTAGGTGGCCATATGCAGGAAAGGGCATACATTATAGCACAATGTAAGTTATGTCAAATCTGAGTTTGAGTCACAGATCTGCACTTCAATAATTATAACCCTGGCTAAGTTAGTTCATCTATTTGAATCTCAATTTTCTCATCTATGAAAATAGAAATGCTGTCTATTTTATAAGATTGAGGTGAAAGGTAGGAAAAAGACAACATATGTCAAGGTTTTAGCACAGTATCTGGCACATAGCAGTTACCCACTCCGTGTTCATTAATACTATAATTTTAATTATAAAGTTTTAATAAAATGAATTTTTAATTAGTACCATTCCTGTAAGCTTAAAATACTTAAACATTTTGGGGAGGATGAGACTACATGAGATATGTTGGGAACTTTTATAGTAAAAAACATCTCCCACATAAAAATACTCAGTAACTGGATAGTCTCAGATTCAAAATGTATGATAACATAGCATGTAACTTTTCTGTTCACAGGTGAATTATATCATGATCTAATGTAGAAATGAGAAATATATCCATTAAATTATCTATGAGCTTTAAGGTACATAATACAAAAGTTTGACTAGAATGCAAGCCAGAAAGAAAAAAAATACTGCCCAGTGTTTATATCTTTAGGTATAAAACCACCACCACCTCTGTTCTTGTGGGATCTCACTAATCAAAAACAGGTTTATGTATGTCTGGGTTTTGGTCAACATCTGTACTTTAGATTTTCTTGTTCTCAGCTATATCTCTTTTAGAATGCTTAGAAGCTGTGCAAATTGGAATCCTAACCTCCTTTCTTCATAGGATCTCGCTGGAAAGCTATGACAAACCTAGAGAAACAGCCATATTATGAGGAGCAAGCCCGTCTCAGCAAACAGCACCTGGAGAAGTACCCTGATTATAAGTACAAGCCCAGGCCAAAGCGCACCTGCCTCGTGGATGGCAAAAAGCTGCGCATTGGTGAATACAAGGCAATCATGCGCAACAGGCGGCAGGAAATGCGGCAGTACTTCAATGTTGGGTATGGACCTTTTAGTCATTTTTCTCATGGAGCAAACTTCCTGTTATACTTAATGGGATGTGAAACATATTTGTTCAGTTGCAAAGAGGCATTTTGAAAAAGAATCTGAGCTCAGAGTATTTTCAGGGACAAATAATCTCCCACATGATCTTGAAAAATATGTCCGTATGAATCCACTGCAAGTTCCTAGCTCTAACATGAGATCTGTTAACAACTGGCTTAAAAACAAGATATCCATGAGTAAATAATTTTGAAGTTTTCCATTAAAAACTCAGAAGTATAACTGGTTCTTTTCTTCATTGGTTTGCATTACTTCCTAAGCTTCACCATGATAAATTATAAAACTAACAACTTTACTGAGATGATACAAAATAAAAATCATTTCAAAATTTAAAAAAAATACTTATTTCTAAATATAGAGAGGTTAGTGAACTATCAAGGTACATGTGTGACCTTTGTGGATCGCACAAGCTAGGGACTCTACTTAGGGCATAACAAGGTTGTGAGCAGGAGGTTTCATTCTGAATTGAGAACGCAGCTCCGAGATGTTTTACAATGCTCCCGTGGCAAGGTTGTTGACAGTGTTGTAGATGTGCTACAGAAATGCATTGCTTCTAGAGAATTCTCTCAAAAAAACCCAAAATAAAGTTGTTCATGTTTGAAACAGAAGTTAGTTTCTAAGAGCTTCTTAGAATAATAAATATTGTTCTAAATGTGGGCAGAGAAAAACTCATAAAAACCTTTTCAAATCTGCTCTGTCCCCTCCAGTTCCTTGGAATAGGCTGCATGCTCTGTCCAGGGCTCTGTGATATTGCAAGCATGTGACTCCTTACAAAGCTAAACACAGAGCCCAACAGTTCTTGGGCAAATACTAAACATATGAATGACTAAAAGCATAAATGAACATCATCTCTTCATCCCTTCCAATAGGACCACCTACGTTATTTATAGGACTAGGTGCAAAAATGAGGAGACAGGGTCTCTTGTTAAAAAGTTATAAAGAATTTCAAGTCTGTGGCAGCATAACTTGAAATCAAGTATGAGACCTTAGCATAGCTGCACAGTTTGTACATCCATGAAGCTGGTCCTGCCTCCTACCACTACAAGGCCAAAACTGTTTCAGAGACTCAGTGGATAGTGTGAATTTGTTCAGCTCTGCTGTGTTCTGGGCAGTAAAGTTTTATTTTGAGAACTCTAATGTTTTAGGATTTTCCCATTAAAATTTAATTATCTTTACATTTAATTCTGGGGAAAAATGCTATTTCTGTATGTTATAGTGAAGGAAAACTGAACTTGGAATTAATGACCTGGGTTCTTCTGCTTCAACTTTCTGCACCTCAGTTTTTTAATAAAACAGTAGTAACAAAACAGGATTAAGAATAAGATGGGACAACACATGTAAATGTCTAGTACTCTATGAAGCACTCCATAGAAGTACGGTATTAGGCCGGGCGCAGTGGCTCACGCCTATAATCCCAACACTTTGGGAGGCTGAGGCAGGCAGATCACCTGAGGTCAGGAGTTCGAGACCAGCCTGGCCAACATGGTGAAACCCCGTCTCTACTAAAAATACAAAAATTAGCCAGGTGTGGTGGCAGACGCCTGTAATCCCAGCTACTTGGGAGGCTGAGGCAGGAGAATCACTTGAACCTGGGAGGCAGAGGTTGCAGTGAGCCAAGGTCGTGCCATTGCATTCCAGCGTGGGCAACAAAAGCAAAACTCCATCTCAAAAAAACACAAAAACAAAAACAAAAAAAACAACAAGGTATTAAAGTCAAAGTAGGATACAGTCTGAAAAATGTTGGGCAATTAGATAAAATTAGTACCTTAGAATTGGACATTGCTGAGCAAATTAATTATGTAATAAAGTCCACATCTAACTATTCACTCACCCATGATATCTTTTTGGGAATTCCTTTCTTGACAGGCAACAAGCACAGATCCCCATTGCCACTGCCGGTGTTGTGTACCCTGGAGCCATCGCCATGGCTGGAATGCCCTCCCCTCACCTGCCCTCGGAGCACTCAAGCGTGTCTAGCAGCCCAGAGCCTGGGATGCCTGTTATCCAGAGCACTTATGGTGTGAAAGGAGAGGAGCCACATATCAAAGAAGAGATACAGGCCGAGGACATCAATGGAGAAATTTATGATGAGTACGACGAGGAAGAGGATGATCCAGATGTAGATTATGGGAGTGACAGTGAAAACCATATTGCAGGACAAGCCAACTGATAAGGGTCAAAAGATTGTTGTGACCTTAGGACTTAAAGAAGCCCTAACTGGTTCATCCTTACCAGTGGCCAAGCACATTAACTTTCTCATACACTGACTGTTACTTTAACTGTTAGTCTTAAATAGTTGGGACATCAGCTGACTAATAGACCTCAGCCTCAAAAGGCTTGGAAAGAAAAAAAAATACAACAAGCAAACAACAATATCAACAACAAGAGATTGAAATAAGCTATGGGTAAAATAATGCCAGTAATTCAGCTGCTACATCCAAGCACTGAAGTCTTACCCGTCAACTTTTTTTTTTTTTAAATAAACTTTATGGCTGTTTGTTCTACAATGTTCTAGAAATTCTCACTCAGGTACACAGTGCCAACAAGTGGCTTGTGAATGTGTTTTGTTGTTTTGTGCTACAATTTTTAAAAAGAAATAAGTTTTGTTTTGTTTTTTGGGGTTTCTGGGTTTTTTCCTTTTCTTTTTCTTTCCTTTCATTTTTTTTTCTTTGTAATGCACCTGACAGAAAAAAAAGAAAAATGAATTTCTCTTTACTTCTCTCCACCTTCTCCATCTCTATACTTTAAAGATGGAAGTCTGTGCATGAGGGGGAAGAGGGAAAAAGAGCCTGTTTTTAACTTCCTTGCTATCCACCACAAAATAAGCAATTATTTTCTTTAGAGGACTTTCTTTATCTATTGCACACCACACTACATCTTTGAGCAAGTGCCAAATTTGTACTGAAGTGTTGACCAAGTTCATTTTTTCCCTTTACTTTTTCCTGTTCCTTCTTAAGTTAGGACAGTGTTAAATCTTAGACAATCCCTGAAAAACCTGAAATACCAGCAGCTGGTGAGATTTGACTTTTTTTTTAATGGAAACTGTAGGTGCTGTTCTCAGGTGAAAAGAGAGAGAGAGACATAAGAAATTTAGAGAAAAATATTTTCAGATCTTGGATTTTTGTGTGTATGTATGTGTGTGATTATGGTACTAATAGGAATAACGTTGGACCATTGTGAGTTAAACCCACATCTGGGGATGAAATCCCACATCCTCCCAAGTGACTGGTCTAGAAATAATCTTGACCTTGACTTTGCACTTCAAATGACAACTTAACCAAGTATAGGGCTCAGAAATTATATTTTTAAATGTCTAATATGATGATTATTGGATGGATCAGGTGGCCCTGTGTAATAGAGGTGTGCATGTATAACATGGAAGCTACTAGCAAACTGCTCCCAGATGTCCTTTCTCCCTGGTCAGTTGGTTCCATTAATGTTTGCTACTTAGTGATTTTTGTTTTTCCTGTTGATATTTCAAGCAAAACAATCATTGTTTTCATTGAATATATTTGGCCATTTTTCAGACAAATAGAATTAGCTTATTTCTTCAACATTCCATCCTTTCCCGATCAGGAAATGAAACTGATGATTTTACAAGGTATTTTTCACCCCTCCATGAAACGAGGTGGAGGCCTTTAGCATTTCAGAAGTGTGGGCCATGTGTAGTTCATGCCATAAAAAGTAGGGTTTAATGAAAATTCATTGCAGTCCAACAAAATGGAGCCTGGCTGCGCCCAGGGATTCTTGCCACTGCTCTTCCCTTGCTGTCAGATGAATCCACTGAAGTCCAACTTTGGTTCGAGCAGAGTATTTGCGAAGAGCAACAACTGAATGTGATGGGACTGCTTATGTAGATTTTGCCAGCCAAATGCCAAGGCAGTTGTAGGGCCTGTACAAATAAATGCAAAATCATTTCAAGTCAATTGCCATTATTTGTATTGAAGTATCAGATAGTAAATACTGCAACTAGTAGCTCGATGTGCTATAGTTTTCACTCCAGTCATCATTTTCCTATCTCACCCCCCGAAACACCACCCTAAAGTTGGATTTTTACATATAAATAATGAAAAAAAAGAATCCCTTTTATTTTTCTCTCTCTCAGAAGACTTGCTCTGGGGTTTTGCTTGGAGGAGCTGATCATAGCCTGCATGTCAGAGATTTCATTTTGTTTGTTTTTCTGTTTGTTTTTGATGACTTTATTTTCATTTGAACTGCCTCTTTTTGCTAGTGTTGTAATAATGATGATGATGATAAAATAATAATAATAATAATAGTAATAATAATAATAATGGTCAGCTGTTCCCAGATTAGTAAGTTATGTATAATTTATTTTATTTCTCCCTTTCTATTTTATTCTGCTCTGATTTGGAAGTGCAGCCAATAAGCTGTTAGATATTTAAAACAAATTTCCATCTCCAACTCATATATGTATGTATATGTATATATATACATATATATATACACACACACACATTTACCCACAATTTTACTTCTCCTTCCATAAGTTTTCTCCTTTTTAAGAATTTTGGCCCCAACAATATCAGTTCTGATGTTTAAAACAAAGGAGTGAATTAATAGGAGGGTCGTGTTCAATCTTAATTAACTTATGCTCTCATCACTCATTTTAGTTATTTAATTGCCACAGTCATCTAGAGCCAATTTTTTTTTTGTTTCTGTTTGTTTCGTTTTCAAGCACTCTGGATAAGGAAAAAATAGACACTTGTTTTTATATCATTTTTATGTACAATGTGAAAACAGATTTTTAAAAAATTTGTTCTCTGTCTTTGTTAACAAATTCCTTCTGATTTATGTGGGTTCACCTCTCACGTTTGCTGGATACTTACTTTACACCATGTTATAAAAGATGCTTTGTTTTCATTTCATGACTTTGGGCTACAAGAATACTTTGTTTTAGCTCCAGGTAGATGCCATTGAAGGCATTCGTGGCTGAAACCAATTCTAACACACTTACCAGTGAATTGACAACACGTTGGTGTTTAGTCTTTTTTTGTTGTTGTTTTATTTTGTTTTATTTGAAGGGGAAAACAAAATTGTTAATGGTGACTTTTAACTGCTGAAATTCAAAAGTTGATTTTAGTTAGGTTTATGTCCGAGACTAAACTGTGCATGAACTGAAACAAAAAGCAAGTTCATAGCCCTGCATTCTGTTCTCTTGTTCTGACGGTTAATTCACTGGATATCAAATTTTCTTTGCCCTAGTTTTCCCCAAAGGAAAACAAAAGCAAAAATAGTTATATCAATATTGAAAGTGCTTTGAAGTCACTTGATAAAAGGTGCTATGAATAGCAACTTACTGTGTTACTACATTGCCTTTTTGGCATTGGTTGATTTATAATTTTGGTAAAGGATCCTAAAACCCTGTATTCTTTTTCTGTGCCTCATAATGACCAAAAAAGATAAAGTAAAGAAAATGAGAGTAAGATCAAAAGATCAAACTAAAACATAAACGGTCTCCCTCCTCTCTGCTTTCTTATCTGTCTGTTCACACTTTATCTCTTTTCCTTTCTCCCTCTCTCACATGCACACACACACACAAACACACACACACACTTGCCCCGACACTGAGAAATAATCTTGCCAGAATTCTGGTTTTTAATGTTGTTGTAGTCAGTTTCTCTAAAAATAGTCCTGTTTTCATATGAATCTAAGACAACATCACTGGAGAAAATAAAGTTACTCATTTATAGTTACTAATAATAACTTAGTGATTAAGTTACTACAATTGGATAAAATACAAAACTATTCTTCAGTACATTTCTACCTAAATTACTGAAGTCCATTTTTAAAGTTCATTTGGCATCTGCAGTTAAGAGTTAACCATGTATAAAATCCCTCCCAAAGAACATAATCATCATTGTTAAAACCAAATCCTCTTATAAAGAACAAATATAAAAAAAAAAAAGTTTTCTTTGGTGAAGCTATTTTATAGATTTGATTTCTGGAGTAGAATTTTACCTTAATTCATCTAAAGAAAATTAACCATTTTTTGGTCCAACTTCAGATATTTTCTTAATCCAGAAGCTGTGACTGTTCCCAGAAGAAACCTCTTATATCACATTTAAAACAAAAAATAATTACACTTTCATTCATTCTAATGGGTAAATTATTGAATTGTAATAAACAACTGTATATTTACAAACAGGTTTATAAGATATTTGTCTATCAACTTAACAGTAAAATAAAACTTATGGGGTCCACAAGGAAAACTATGAAGGCCACTTAAAGTGGTTCAGGTATCTCTTTGTCTTGTAGGGCATAGCTGTTGGTTTAGCCAGGCTTTTACAGTATTTAATTTTAAAGTTTCCTATAACTATCAACTTCCCAGGTTGAAGATGATGTGTTGAGTTTCCTACTGATTGATTCCTGTCCTCCCCAGTGTTTCTGTCACTGGTTCACTAAAACAGTATTTATATAGCTCCACTGGCTCTAAAGCTTTTAGTCCTTCTAACATTTTGGATTTTACAAGTAAAAATGGAAAAAAAAAAAAATAGAAAAGAGACAATCAAATGCCTGGAGCTTAAAACAAAGTATGTGCAACCTACCATCTCACTTGAAATTTAATGAAATAAATAATTATGTAAATATAACATAGAGTTATAGATTTATATTTTGTTCATAACACATAGTGTAATATAAGTTGTATATTTTCATGTTTTTGGTTTTATGTTATCATTCATGCCACAATAAAAATAAAACAGGAGTTTATGTGCTCTTAAAAAAAGGATGTGGGTTGCCACCAACCTGTTTTTTGTTTTTGTTTTTTGTTTATTTTATTTTATTTTTTTGCATTCTCCTTTTTCAGTATTACTGCCATGCAAGGCACCAATAAAAACAGCAAATGTGTTCTTTACCTATTATACTGTGTTTCTTTTCACAATTATTGTTATGAGGGTGTAATTATTAGTTTTATTATGAAAAGAACGAAAGTATGGAAATTTAATCTTGTTTTTGATATAAATAATCCCTCTTATTGAAGTTGACTTTGAGAACTAAAGGTTTAATTTTTAGCTGTGGACATTCCCGGAAAGACAGTCAGGACTTGATATAATGCGTTTCACTCAGACAGATCTAGCTTCACCATACTGTCAAAAGATACTGTTCTTATATGTAATTGATTCAACACAATTGAAAACCCGACAGTCGAAAGCACCTTTAATATTGTTGTTTTCCCTGGCTGGACACTATCCTTGGGTGGGGGATGGGGGATTTCTACGCTTTAGAATTGTGCTTTATCCTTTTGTTTGTATAGAAGATTTATAAATTTCAGATCATGAAATTACTAAGAACTATAAATAATTTTCACCTCGCTGGTATCTAATTTTGAATAATGGATATTTCTGAATTGTTTAACATTAGCCTCTGAGTTCTACCTTAAACTTTTTTAGTGAATGTTAAAAACAAGAAGTCTCCTTTCCTTTCAATGGCCATTTTTGCTTGTCTCTTCCACCATAATATGTTTTTCTACCTTGATAGTTCTCTATGTAATAGTTTCATATAAGGGTGTTTGGTTGGTTGGTTGGTTGGTTGGTTGGGTGGGTGGGTGGGTGGGTTTTTTAAATAGGTATCAAGACAATGGGTCAGGTAACATTTGGTTCAAATGAATACAAGTATATAAAAGGGTTTATTCTAGAAACACTGCCCACTGTGTCCCTTAACAGGAGTATTTTACAAAATCTGGTCCACAGACCACCTACTTCAGAATTAACAGTGAAAAATGTAGATTCCTGGGCCCAACCCCAGATGTAGTGAATCAGAATCTCTGGGGATAGAACAAAGCTTTTGCTATTTAACAGCTCTAAATAATTCTGCATACTCTTATGTTCCAAAACAATCGGGAGGTGGGGATATTTTTCTCTTCCTCTGCCTACCTTTTCTTTGCATGTCAAATTCTGCAGCTCCTATTACCTACCATACTTTCTCTTTAGGCCTCTGAGAAAACCTTGAAACAGGGTCAGTAAGTAGGCAAGGGTTTGAGGTTTTAAGGAGCTCCCAATCCCTCTATTGTTTGGAGGACATGTGGTCCATCAGAACCACATTGCCACTCCTTGTTTCCCTGTCTTGTGTTGCCCATCATGGCAAAGCAGTAGACTTCAGAGACTCCAGGCAAGTGGAACACTACAAATATAACAAACATAGAAAACTACAACCCACTGAATATTTGCAAAACAAATTGAGGTTCTTTGAAAGGAAACTATCCATTGTAGGAGTTGAGCAGTAAACATTCTGTACAGTGTTTATAATGGACCACCTATCGCTACATTGGTCATGATCTCACCCTATGTTTCTTCAGGAAATAACATTAGCAGGATATGCTAAGTATTGTGTGGATGGGGAAAATCTTGCTTGTTTAGGAAACTTGGCTCACCAAGGTGGAAAGCCCCAACCACCACCCTCTTTCTTCTACCAAATAAAGTTTACTTGGAAACCTTCTTTTCTTGGTTTTTTGGTTTCTTATGTAATATTTACGACTAGCATATAATAATAGATTATTTTCCTATTGCCAATGCCTTGAACAACAAAAACAATACTGGCAATAGTGAAAAGAAAACACCTTCTTTTTTTAAAATCTCAATTTTGCTAATTTTAGTTGCTGGTGTTTGAAGTTCACGTATGTGTTTTTAAAATCAGTATACTGTCATTCTTACCAAATTTAAAAGTTCTGAAGTCATCTCTATAACTTCACATCATCATTGAAACCTCAGTTATAACAATGGAGGTGAAGGTAAGCATGAATTAGTTCAATGTCTGATTTAAAGAATGTTTATGAAAAAAATCCAATCTATTTTCTTGAGTTTCTAAAGCAATCTAATAGCTAGCTGAGAAGACCTGTTTTATAAGTAAGCATTGTAATTAGTATGTAAAGTGTATGCAATAGTATTGCTAAAAGTTCTCTAAAATAGTATGTTTTCTTAAGGAGGCTAAACATCTGTCCTACAATTTTAGTTATTCTACCAATTTGCTTAGCAAACTTTTTACCACAAAGAATGAATTGGTTCGGCTCTGTTAACAATATATTATCATTTTTCAATTAGGTCCAGATACATGAGATTTTACTCCCCTTATTGCCAGTTTCTAAAGATGCAAACAAATATGGAATGCAATGGTACTTTGTTGCTATTCAAAATATAACCAAGAGGATGAAATTTGTGTTATCATTGATGTCTCCACCCATACAATTTAAAAAGAAAAAAAACTACAAGAACAATTGTAGGAATTCAGTAGGCCTAAGTAAACACCACTATTTTGTACATTGCTTGTTCAATTTATTCTTAAATTTCACAATCTGGAAAGCAATCCTAATTACACACAAACTGTAAAATATATTTGAAATAAAGTCTTTTGTTTATAAAAATTACTGCTGTGATAACTTTTTTATAAATTCACGTGGTTCTGCAAGAAGGTAGGGGGACCCACAGAACATGTTTAGACAATTATTTACACCAGAGGCTGACTGTATTCAACTTGCTCCAGCATTGGCCCTCAGTAAGGATTCTTTTTGCCCTGTATTTCAAACCTACAATTGTGTAGAGTACAAATTTAAAATTTTGGTTGTGTGAACCTAAGTTTCTTGAGTCTTAAATTTCTTTAGGTCTACAGTCAGTCACTAGTAGACCCCAAATAAATACACAAATTGTCATTTTTATTTGGAAATGATCCTAGCAACATTGTCTTCTACTGGGTGGGCATACATGAGCAGAATTAACAACCTGGTTTTCCATGGGCAGATTTTTGGGGTTTTTTGTTTTGTTTTGTTTTTTGAGACACAGTCTCATTCTGTTGGCTGGAGTGTAGTGGCATGATTTGGGCTCACTGCAGTCTCCACCTCCTAGGTTCAAGCAATTCTTGTGCCTCAGCCTCCCAGGTAGCTGGGCTTACAGGTGTGCATTACCACACCTGGCTAATTTTTGTATTTTTAGTAGAGACAGGGTTTCACCATGTTGGCCAGGCTGGTCTCGAACTCTTTGGCAGATGTTTTTTAAAATCTGGAAAATAGATTGAAATTTCTAGTGGTATACAATTTGGGAACAAAAGCATTTAACTATAGATTTCAAAGAGAAGATTTTAGATTGTAATCATTAAAGAGATCAATTTCCTCCTAACTGACTAATCCCACAGATATACAAGTTTCAATATTATAGCCTATTATGTCACTTATATCTTAACCTCTTGCTTATCAAATCCTCTGCTGGAGGTACACCTTTGTCTTTTATTGTCATAGTAAAAACTTTAAAAGATCACTTAATTTTTTCAAATACTTCAAGATTCCCAAAGTTCATGTCAACAAACTCAAACAGCTTTCTAAATTTTACACTTTTCACACAAATTTTAAGCATATAAAGGTTGAGTTTGAATCATGGAAAGATTTTTAGACATTTTTATAAACAAAAAATGCAAGTCAGGGAAAATGAATGGTAAGAAAAAGGAACCTTAAGCGATTTTGTGGTTTGTCTTTCTCTTGTCTTAATGATTCAATATTTGGCAAATATTAAATGACTGCTGCTAACCTGGTCCATCTGACAATAAAAAGCCTAATTCTTGCCAAAGTTGATGAGTTACTGGTACCTTAGGTCATTGTGTTAGCTTATGTCAATTCATAGGCTCATTTATCCGTTTCCAAAATTCGGTGTGACTTACGATAAATACACAGTTAACACAGCACAAATAGAAAAAAGATAAACAGTAAGAAATAAGGAATCATACAGCAACCCACACACTAGACAAACATACACATGTGTGTATGTATATATGTGTGTATATACACATACATGCACATGTGTGTTTACACAAATATCTGCACATACAATAAGACACAAAAGTGTGTGTGTGTGTATACACACTGATGAGAACAACTCCAAGCTCTTATTTTCATAGCAGTTATAGTAAATAAGAAACTTCATGAATTAGAGAATTTGTATTGCTTAACTGAAAGAAACATGCAAGTTTATAAAGAAAAATAAGCCTTTCATTGCCATAAATTCTCAGAGGGATTTCACATTTAAGGAATAAGAAACAATTCAAATACCCATCTTTTTTTGGTAAATAGATATACAAAAGCTGTAGGTTTGTTTTATGTATGTTTATCAGTCCTTGAGCAGAGTTTTATAAAGACAATTTGCAAAGGGTCAGAGAGAGAGTATACACATAGATAGATAACTGGATATATGATTAAACAAGAATTTACAAGGATAAAGCTGGAAGAATTGTGATTATGATGAATATCATGTCACCAGACTAGATTTTTAAACTATCAGATGTTTCTAATTGAGTTTTATTTATGCTATGTGTAGCACAATGATAGGTCTATACAAGATAGAAAACAATAATCCTTCCCTCAAAGTTCATAATGTGCAAGGAAATAAGACCAACACACATTAAGTAACAAAACAATATAAGATAATGATTAATGAACCAGAAACTAAGTGATACAGGATTTCAAATGAAAACAAGAATCATTTTAATATTTACTGAGACTTCTGCTTCCAAATAGTATGTAGTAGGTGGTAAATGGCCAACCTCTTACTGGAACTAGAAAAAGCTGGAAAATTACAAAAATTGTGTTTTAAAAACATTAAAAAGCTTTGGAAGAAATGAGAGCTAGATGAACCGCAGTTCCAGAGAAGCAAGAATCCATTCAAACTGAAACTGATGATTGCTAGCCATTTGTATTTAGTGACAGCATAAGCAAATTCTGGGTGTTGCTATAAAAGCTTTGGCAACTGCTGGAAGAAAGCAAACCAGCAAAGCAGTTGTGAGCTCTAAAGTGACAAATTGGAGTCTTGAGGACCTGAAATGCAAGACTAGTTTTACTGATAACATACTTGATGAGTTGTGGGGCTTTGTGGAATGCTGCTGA